TGGAGTGATGGGGCTGCCGCGTTACCAGCGCCCCATGAGCAGGTTTCAGGGTTAGGTTGCCTTGCTCAAGGAAACAATGTAGTAAACAAAAAGATTGCAGAGTTTTTATATTTGTCTCGTTGTCAACAAATCCCATTAATTTATATTGAAAATCCTTAAAAATGGGTCCCAAATATATAGTCTCATTTTAATTTTCCTAGAACAGGTGGGCATTGTAGTTTTTCAGTGAATGTTTCTCAAACAGGATTAAATAGTACATTTGGTGGGGACTAGTTGCAGCTGCGGATCAACACAGATTTGATGTGCTAGTCAGTGAGTGTTTATATCGCCGGGATAGTGTGTGTTGAATTGATTCCAAAAAACTACAGAGCCCACGGTCACAATCACAAAACATGGCACAGTTTGCAACAGTGTGGCTCACTGGTGTGTTTAGAATTATTTCAAACAATAATGGAGCTCTATGGCACAGAGGAATACGCTATATTGGGCTTTGGCTAGACAGACATTACTATCCAATCATTGCTGATAAGAAGAAAAATATAGAATATCACTTATCCTTTACCTTTCTTTCTGGGTGAAGAAGGTTGACCTATATCTGCATTGACACTGTTTGGATTTCATGTGTTGTGTAATTATGATTATGATGACATTTGCTAAAGTTATACAATTAAAATCCATATTCAGCAAAAACAGCTAAACAACTTGCATCTTTATTCCACAGATCTCCTACAGATCTGTTGATATTGGGGCTCAGGGTCGGGCCCAGGGGGAGCCGCCACCATTGCGTCCAACGAGTGGAGCGCCAACGGTAGCCCAGAAGATGGGCTGGATGGGGACAACGAGGACAAGACCCTGGACGGGGACGCCGAGGGCGTGTGGAGCCCGGATATCGAGCAGAGCTTCCAGGAGGCCCTCGCCATCTACCCTCCCTGTGGCAGGAGGAAAATCATCCTGTCAGATGAGGGAAAGATGTATGGTGAGTACACTGGATAACAGCCAGAGCAACAAAAGAACAACAATTACATGGAAATCAGTTCCATAATGAATGCACAAGAATGGGAAAAGCATCCATTCCGCAGAGATTTGTGGCTGAGTGAAAACAAACATCCACCATAGTGCCCTGAAAAGAAATGAGAAAAATACTTTTCTTCCTCTTGCACTCATGTCACAGCTTTTACACAGAGGTGAATGTTTTCTTTCCACACAGAGCTCTCTTTAACAAGTCTGTACCTGTTGTGCTGTGACCCAGGGGCAGGTTCTTCCAGTTGCACCAGCACTCTCAGAGCTGGTTATTGCTGTCTTGAGAGCATCTCAGCTCCTCTTCCTTTGATTTACACCTGTCTTTTTCTTCAGTCTTTACAGTCTACTTTTATGCCCACTGTTTTACGGCCTCCTCTTTTCCTCACTACACACTTAGTTGCAAAACCTGCTCTTTGTTTTTTTATCGGTGAACGTCATGCGCTTGTTTCTCCCCACACCGGTATTGCTGGGAGAGTTTTGCCTGTAGGTGACTGGTTGGAGCTGTTTTTTGGAGGAGTGTTGCGTTTGATGCTGGATGGCTCAGCTAAATTAGCAATAATTAGCCCAGCGTGAATCGAGACTCAGGAACAAAAACATCACATTGGCATGTCGGATTTTAAACATCCATATGGTTTCAGAATAGTTATGCTGTTTCCTGCAGTGTGTTCATTAAATTGCAGGTGTTGAGCCCTTAATGTCCTGAAAAACTCCAGATGGATATGTTGGCAAGTTCTTAGGTAGAATCACTGACATCCAGGTGTAGGAAATTGAACGCATTTGCCTTTCATTATTTTGATCCCATTTTCCCATTCTTGTTGTTGAGACAGTGCGTGCTCTCCTAATTAGATTTAGCATTTGAAGTTGGAAATTTTGCTGAATAGCAGTACATTTTGATTGACAGGTTTTGTGCTGCCTTCTTCCCCTCTGTCCTCAACAAACTTCTCTTTGGTTTTGTGAAATTATGTTATTTTCACCATCGTAACTCAACTCCCTCAAGCCATGCTTTGCAAGACTTCCCTGCCCTTTAATTATTGTCCATCATGTCTCAAAAACTTGAAATTGATTCTGGCTTCAGAGCAACCATAAAAACCATCAATCATTACCACCAAAGTCAGAGACAGACTGTGTATTTTTTAAGCATTAGTGTTTGTTTTTAAAGCTCTGTTTTTTGGGTGGCTTTTCTTTGCTTGACGTCAGATGGGATTCTTTTGCCGTGATTCAGCCAAGATGGAATTTGTCAGGCAGATTTCGATATTCAAGGAGAAGCACATACCTGAGATAACTCAGCCACTGTTGCAGATTCTGTTGTTACTCTGATCCTCACTGAAGGAGCATAGTAGTGAGAAAACAAGTTTTGGATTCATCGATTAGTCAACAGAAAATTAAATCAACAATGTTTTTTTTATTCTGATCAGTTAATTAATTGAGTCATGTAACAAGCAAAAATGCCAAACATTTGCTGATTCCACCTTCTCAACGTTAGACAAAACAAGACATTTTCAGACATTACCTTGGGCTCTCGGATCTCAGGATAGGCATTTTTCACTGTTTTCTTACATTTTGTAGACTAAACAATTAATTATTCTAAAATACATTCACAGATTCATCAATAATTAAATTTTAAATTTTAAATGAAATTAGTTCCCCAGAACTAAAAAACTATATGAAGACTAAACTGTTGACTACTATGTTCAGTCTGTTCACAATAAGCATTTCTGACTCATTTTTAATTACATTTAAGTAAATCAATCAGATTTCCATTTTAAGCAGGCTTGAGGGACATATGCTTTAAAACAAGTATTAGTAAACTTATTGTATATTTTTCCAGAATGACACAACTAGTTTACAACATGCTTTTAATTTGTGGATCGACCCTAAGCACAAATCACTGCAGGCATCTCTAAATTTATCTAAATAACTCTTCAGTCCTGTTTAGCGGGGCAGTGTTGTGTTCCAGGCTCCATACATTTGTCATGAGAACGTCAACAAAGAGGCAGGCCGTGCACAAACCTGCCCTCTTAGCAACAAACTGTCAGGATCCCTTTTAGAGGCCTGTTTTTTTCTAGAGCACTAAACACCCTCTCCATTTACAATAAGTCATCTGAGGCTTTGCTGGCAGAGCCAAGGCATGCCCCAGAAGAAGCCTTCTCACAAGGTGATTACCTCAGACATCTAAAAGCTGCCCTGACGTGAGTTTAGGGGAATGTTAACGATTGCACTATGTAATACTGTCTACCTTGCAGTCTCAGACTCCTAGTGGCCTCCAAAAGCAGGCAAGTCATCCCTCCCATTGGGAATTCCACTTTTTCTGCCAGGCTTTTTTTTTTTTTTCATTTGGTGGGAAACCTTTGCAAATTTCCATTGCCTTAGCAAGATGACTTCTTTATGCATGTGTATTCTTTGCTCTACAAACCTGTCTAGACTTCCCAACAGCTTTGCCAGTCATTTACGTAGCTCAAGGGTGACAAAGAGTTCAAAGGAGCATAATACTCAGTTTTAAGTCACACATGTTAATAATCACTTCAGTGTTTTCAGAACATGAATAACACTTAAAGGTCCAGTGTGTAACATTAGGGAGGATCTATTGGCAGAAATGCAATATAATATTCATAAGAATGTTTTCATTTGTGTATAATCGCCTGAATATAGAATGTTTTTGTTTCCTCAGAATGAGCTGTTGTTATCTACAGACACGAGTCCACCATGTTGAACCACTATGTTACTACAGTTGCACAGAAAAGAAACTAAACACTGGCTCTAGATAGGGGCATTTGCCTTTTTCCAAAGTTTCCCAGCCACTGTAGTTTCTCTTCCATGCTTGGAAGGGGAGGGTGAAACAATGGGGTTGCGATCTGCAATTACACTGCCCGATGCCACTAAATGCTACACACTGGACCTTTAAAGAAGCTCAATTCTAGTTTGTGATGTATTCACAATTATAATAGAATATATCTAACTGCATCTTATTTGTATTTAGGGCTGCAAAATTAATCAAAATATTATTGAAATCACAATATGGCCATTTGCAATATGCATTTGATGTTTTTCAGTGAAAATTTATCATTCCAACAATAAATGTTATTAAGGTATCACATCTACTACAACGCTCAGTAATTCATCCTTGATATCATCTTTTTTTAACCACTCTCATGTCTGTACAGTAAACATAAGGCTATAGCCAGCAGCTAGTTAGCTTAGCTTAGCATAAAGACTTGAAACACAGGAAAACATCTTGCCTGGCTCCCGTCCGAAGGTTACTAAATCTACTTACCAGCTCCTTCTTAAATTCACTTATTAACAGGTCATACCTTGTTTGTTTACTCCATACAGAAAGTATAAAGTGTAAACAAGTTTGGATCGGGAAGTCACTTCTCCCATCCAAGAAATAGTCCAGCACCAAATCCCATACAACCACAAAATTACTTTTTTATGCTTCAGTTTATGTACAGATTAAACTAACAAGATATAATG